CTTCTCACGAACAAGTATTGTAGTCTTCACGGTATTCATGTGCAAAACTATTAGTTACAAAGAGGTGTAGTAGAGATATTGGTCTACGAAATTCCTCTTCAATCTGAGCACACATATGACGCAAGATTGCTATCGTTTAGCGCATCAGTAAAAAATAATGACTGTGCCGCATGTTTATAGACAAAGTGTAGCCAAATATATACCTCTTTTAAGGGTCGATTGAAATCACGCACACGTTACAGAAGGAACCTTACTGACGAATAAGAGACTATCAGTTAAACGGTATTTTCGAATAAGAGTTGAGCACAAAAATCAGTGGGCCATTAGAAAATCCGCTACATGATCAGCAAAAACTCAAGAAACAGCCATCATTGAAGTCCACGAAGTACTCTAGCCAGTTGATGATAGTCAGGACAAAGCTTTCGGACATGATGTGTAACATTAGGATCATTTATCATAAAGCGTGGCCCTTAACATCACCACGATAATTAGTGTGTTCGCGCCAACCATTCCGGTAAACCCCACGACAATTAAGTCTCTGTCTGGTGGCTGTGAACTTCAGAAACCGAGAGGATTTGAGTAGAGATTATAGTACCAACTTAGGCGTGTCCTTCCTCCAATATCACGGACGAAAAAGTGAGTATGCAAGGGATGGAACATTTCCTATTCGATAGGGTAGGTAAAGAGCGAGATGAAGTGACGACACAAATTAACAATCGCTTCAAAGCCGAAACACAAAGCTTTAGTTAGCTGACAGAATCATGCTACTATTGCTCCGATAAAGACAGACCAGATTACAGCAACCACACCTGGGGTTTTTCCAAATATCACATGTTTCTCGTCAAATCTTTCCATATCACGGGACAGTTGGACGACCTATTCGGACCAAACGATAACGGTTCGTGTATTATCTTTTGAATAGGAGCATTCGACTCAAAACTTCATGTAATCAAGGATACAGCTGCGAAGATAGGTTTCACTTACCCATGTTTATCTTGGATCCCAAACTTCATGGAGAAAAATATATTTCGAATCAGATCAAAGAAACTGCATTCAGGCTAGATGATCTGAAAGAGAAACGATCATTTACTAATGCTTGAATTTTCGCTTTTTCTTCACATTGGGATCAACCAGTCAACCTCTTTCTTGATGACATGATAGCTGCTGATATCCGAAAAGGTTTCTGCCCTGAGATAACCGAACTAGCTCAAATTAAAACATGTAAAAATCCACACAGCTACGAAACTGATAAGAGTTTGTGTAATCCATTAACTGGACTACCTTTCATTGGATAATAATAAAGACGTGAAACCGTACTGAATTATTAAGAAGCAGGATCAATGAAATCATTCGCTCTATTTAAGATTGCGAATAATAAAATGGTATATTGGATCTTACACGAAGAATATTTCCTAGGCCATTCTCGAAACGCAAACTGGGGAGGCGGGCGTTTGGTTTTCATGAAGTCATTACTGAAAAAAGCATTAAGTCAAATCGTTATTGTTCCAGCTCTGCCTGAGTTTCGGAGACCTGAGGTAATCTTTCATGACGTTTTGCACAGTTCTCAGGTACGATGTAAGTCCAGTAGGAAGAACCAAAGTAGAGGCCAACTGAAACGTCTTCGCAATGAATTATACCGAAAACGTCATTCCAAAAAAGTTACTTGGAAAATATTTTCAAGTAAAAATGGTAAGTTATTTTTTCCAGACTCAAAGGTTGTAGCCTACTGTGTCTAGTATAGTAGCATGTTGTTACCTAATTAGGTGCTACGTAGCACGACAGGTTAATCTCTACAGATTAACATGTCATCTTTAAACCGATAGGTCAACATAAGACAGAAAAGCCAATATATGAAAGTGAATCGAACAAAGAATAGGAATTTTATATGCTTTAGGTGTTAGGTCGAAATTCTTCAACTGGATTTTGTATACTTTGAGCTGGTTATTAGTCTAATTTTCGTTTCCATTAACGCACACTTATATGCTCTTATCCTAAATGTCTTCTATGTTCGCCGTTATTTACACCACAAGACGAACGTTTAGATACAGTGGACTCGATTTAGAAAATTATACATGGTTAGTAACACTTATTTACAAGAAATGACATCGCACCTCGTTGTACATACAAAACTCCACTGTCACTGACGAAAATCCGCAAAAAAAGTTACAGTTAACAGGTTACGCGCTAATTATTTTGAATTTTCAGCTTCATATATCAATCACGTCCCCACTACATACGCCTAATTTGTTTCAATGTAGCAGATGTAAGTGAGAAAGTAAATGCGAAGATAATGATTTATTAGAAAATTATGAATAAAATGTAGAGAGTTTTAGAAAATTGGAGTCTCAGTGTTACTATTCAGAATTGAAATAACCGTCCTGTGAATTCTGAAATATTAAAACTAACATTCACAACACAACTAAACTGCGGAATTTTTTTATCTACAACTGGCAACGTAAAACGAGAATTACGGCAGCTTGTCAAGACTGAGCACTACAGCTATTGAACAGCGATAAAAAGTTGCCACTTCAACGTATTTATCATATCTCTTTTGTGACTTGCAGCTGATCTCATGTCACTCAGTGCTTTGATGAGTTCAGTGAGTCCCGTGAAATGATCTAGCAGGTCAGTGAAAGCTCTAGATCTAATTAATTCCTTTTTCCTTGATATCAGTGATTACCCCAGGTTTTCATGTATCATTACTACATTATCCGGCTTAAATGAAGTTATAGTAGTATAGTTATAGTTGTAGTAGTATACTTAGAAGTATTTTTTTGTTTCTTACAGTCGTACGTGTCTGCTGTAGTTGCCGAAATGATCTCTTCTGCATAACTGTGATTTGCTTACTTAGCCATAGGCTAAAAGCTATGTACTGTTTTTTAGTATCTCATATAAGACTCGAATGGAAAAGCTGATAGCGGATCTTGCAAAATAACTTTAACGAATGTACGCTATAAACTAAGTGTTCAGGTCCGTAGCACTATTCACATTCTCTAAGAAAATCACACAAATCATTTCTAACTGAACCTGTCACACTGCTGCAAAACTTAACACGCGTTTGCGCTAATGCTAGACGTCTAGAATTTAAGTACGGAGGTGGTAGTGATGTATTTTTAAGGACTATAAAGAGGACAATAAACACTGTCGCTACCCATACAGATACAAAGTCTAATGTACGACATTTATGCTGAAAGTCTGAAGTACTTTCAACACAACTCAAGAATAGCATATGCCCGTGATAATAGTTTTATTCACACTCCAAGTTCTTTATGAGGAATCTACCCATAAATAGATTTTTTTCTTCATTACATATAAATATCCCAAGTGCACTGGATCTGAAGGGAATCTTGAAACCATATTGATTGGAAGTGTCTCAAAATTAGAACGTCCATGGTGTGAGTTGGTTGACTTTGTTAATGAAAACTGTCATCAGTTCGCGATATTCATCGTTTAAAAATATCATCCTTCCTTCAATGAAATAACCCACTACTACATGCATATCATAGCCTGCTTCTCCGTTGTAACTGTATTTAACTTCTGAACGAGCAGGTGCGTCAAACGTGACGGCAACCACATTAATACCTATACATTTGTTCATTCAAGCTATTTAGTTGTACTATAATATGCTGTTCCTTAGCTTACAAGGCCCGATCTAGAGTACGAGTAGTTGGCCAAATGTCTTGAATGCCAAAACACCAGTTTACTTACTCCCACCTCCTACGTTGTCCTCAAAGCAAGTTATCCAGTTTCCTCAACTCTAGAAAATGACCAACTTTTCAGTGGTCAAACATTGCTTTCTCAGATAACGCTAAGATTATGTTTTATTATAAGGTTATTTGTCTGTTCCCACTGGAATGCTTCCGGGAATGAACGCCTGTCATGTTAAGAAGCGACACTATAGACAGCTATATGTGTCGTTTATCGCAGGACATACATACGCCGTGGCACCAGTACTTACCGCGCTACCCACCATTATCTTCTGGTAAGTCGGCTTTGACAATTACCTCTTGCAAAACATCATCTATGAGCATTCCTTGACACGTGAGATTGATGTTCGTGAAGCTTTGTTGAGTAACCACAAGTAAAACCGGAATCTTTGAAGAAGGAACACCACTGTCCCATTCAAGTAGTGTATAATTCAAAACGAGTGTCATTGGTAACTAAGACGACGTGAAACAACTAAAAATGATGTAAACGCTAAGAAGATCCGAAAGCTGTCCTTTACAGTGGTTTTCATAACTGAAAACAGCTGATAATCACCTAGTCGTTCACCGTTGAAGACTTCAGAATTAAGTCCATTGTGGCTAGCAGTGAAATCCAAGACTTTAGCTGCATGTGCGTGCATCCAAACAACCATTACAAACACAGAAGTAGCTCCTGCTTAGTTGAACATTATTTATTCGGATTCATCATAGTAATCATGTACCTTCTCTACAATTGACAGATGTTCATGGTGTATCATCAAGAATTTACCAGTCTTGAATGCAATGGTGATCCAAACATTGTCTATATATATATATATATATATATATATATATATATATATATATAGAGAGAGAGAGAGAGAGAGAGAGAGAGAATTGAAAGTAAACACCTTTAACTTAGCAGTGCAATAAATTTGTTTATGTGAACGTATCCAAAGTAAACTTTTTTTCCTGAATTATTTTACAGACTCTCAGTCCAAACCTGACAAGTGCGGTTCTGTCAAACCTAAAAATATCAGCAAAGTCAATCCTGAACTAATAAAACTTGCAAAACAAATAAATCAAAGTAGGCGCGAGGTTTTCGAAGCAACATCAAACAGGACGATAAGCAAGAAGACAGAAAGTGTTCTCTTCAACCAAGATTATGATCATTTTAAGGATGATTTGAAGACTCTTATATGCTCATAATTTCCATTATATAATCATGATTTTCCGTAATTAGTTAACTGGTTTCTTCAATACCCATTTTTTCAAATGTACAGATGGATAACTAACAGCTAGAAAACTGGTGGGACGTAGTTGTATAGATACTTTATTTTTACCGGTACGAACAAATATTATAAAATAAAAAATGTTTCCTATTAGTTTTTGTGACGGAATACTAGTTTAAATGTTCGATACGTTGACAGGAATAAGGCGAAACCAATTGGTACGAAAAGCGGCGTATAAATACCATATTTTTGGTCATCCTACAAAAAATAAATTGTGTAATTATTAAGCGAGTAGGTAAATCTTCAGAAACTAGTTATTTATGTGATAATCAGAATGAAAGCACTCAAAGAAACCTACTTTGACGTTTTCGCAACGCTCAGTAGATTTGAATGTGGTTTTTGTTCTGCCGTAAGGTCGACGACCAAGATTCTCAATCAAATGTTGAATCGTAAGGAATGGCTACAAACCCTAATTGTATTTTTCCCCCTGGTACGGTCGAGAGTGGGGAGAGTCTGCTCTTCCTCTTGAAATGCCATCATATGACCATGTGTATTTAGTCACTACTGTGGAAGTTCTACTCACCACCATTTCGTTGCGTGGTCGTTGTTTACGAAATCGAGAAGACGAGAGCAAATGTCCAGCACTTACGCCAGGTTCATGCACGGATCATGACTTTCCTCCCAAGAAATCACACAAGTTCCTGCAGTCTGCATAGACTCATGGAAATAAGTAGTCGGATGACTGCTCATCTATTTCTGTATTGAAGAATACTCTTCTGTAAGGATTGAACTTGGAAGGTATATCAAGCACATTATTTATGAAGCCAACTTAGCAGAGTTGGAGAACCCTGATTCCAAACTAACGATTCTCATAGACTCCAGGATCCTGAGAGGACAAATAGCATCCAAACCTATTCTTGATCACCGGCTGCCATGAGACCGCAACTCCCAGCGTTGCTCCACTACATCGTGGATTAAACCTCTTGGTCAAAAGTTCGGGGAGTGGCCCCCAAGACCGCATTCTATGGTTTGGGCACTCCGACAAAATCCTTGGAGAAAAAAATTTATTGATAACTACTTTGTGTGGCGCATATACATTTTGTTATCCCTTTGTATCAATGTGTTTCAATAAATACCACTTACAATGGTGTGTGCTAGTGGGACAGAAAGAAGCTTGGCCACTATGGTTAAATTCATTAACCACAAATAATTTAGACAGTCTTAAGATTAGCAAAGATCTCATTACAATACGGAGTTCCAGTTACACAAGAATACCTACACAACAAAAGGTAAATAATAACTATGCGTTTGCACACCTGTCAAAAAGACGTACAATTTAATTTTAAAGGCTAATTCCCCAAAAATCACGTCTTCCCTCCGTAAAAGGTGGTTTTGCATTCCTAAGGTTTAAGGGGGATAGTGACTCCGTATTATTCACTAGATTTAATATAGTAAAGCATTGGGTTACATTGAATCTAATAAGTGGTTCCCAGGTACTTGGTTAGGTGAGCATTCCATAATAATTAGACATAATTTGACATGCTTTCACCAACCGTTCTAGACGGCGATTATAATAAAAAGCTTACTCACCTCGAAATATAAAAGACCAAGCAGGCTGTGGTCGAAAAACGCGCCATTTGAAGAAACTAAAGCATTATGTGCATATTGGAATGTAACACCAAAGGAGCACATAATCTCGTTGTGTGACGACGCTGAATTGTTTATTTCATCTGGTTTTTTGAGATTATCAAGAGCTAATGACCAATTCGAACATGAATGATATACTTCATTAGCAACATCATCTCGTATGATCATGTTTGGAAGGCGTTGTAGTATGTTTATTAATGATTCAATAGTTCGTTTAGTCTCAGTAAGGCATTCAATAGTTCGTCGAAGAAACCACAAGTTAAGCTGTAAACAAACAAAATTAAAAGACATGTCCTAGTCATGTGATTCACTAAGATTTGAACTCGCTATGAAGCCCTAAGAAACTTACAAGTTTTTAAGGCATGTTATGAAGTGAACATGTGCACAGTACTCGATAGAACATAATAAGTGAAGACGGTAACAGATAGAAGTTACTAAAAGGTATAATAACGAAACATGATAAAAACGAGCTTTTGAACTCTGAGACTCGACATGTAGGCCAGTAAAAAAACAAATTCACTGAACATACCTATAAGATTCATGTAGGGATCATGACTTTCCTCCCAAGAAATCACACAAGTTCCTGCAGTCTGCATAGACTCATGGAAATAAGTAGTCGGATGACTGCTCATCTATTTCTGTATTGAAGAATACTCTTCTGTAAGGATTGAACTTATAAGGTATATTCAACAGATTATCTATGAACCCAAAAAATTTTGAGTTGCTTCAAGATTCCGAAGCGAAATTCAATCTGTCGTTTTTTGTGAGGAAGGTGATTGGCTTTCTGTCTAGGCAACTGATGAGTTAAAGTAGTTCATAAATACCAATTATACCGACAGAAAATGTAAGTTATGTCTGATAGGTAGTGCATGTTGAGTACACTTCATAGTCAACCTGGTTACAAGCAAAATAGCCAAATCAACCAATGTAAATTAAAAGAAATGCTTCATAAGCCAAATAATGCAGAAATTAGTAAAAACCATGCTAAAGCAATAATTTTCAGCCAATCCACATCTAAGCTAAATAAAACTTTGTCAACATAGTGTTTTAAAGATATAAATTTATAAGAAAACACAAACCTCCCAATTCGTTGTTTGACCATTTAAGTCCATGTTAGACTGAATATGATAGGTGTGACTATTATCCTCATCCCGATCAAAATACATTTCTTTGATTTGTGGAAAACCTAATATTGAACGTATCACATAAATAATTTTTTGTGCAATCATCTTGGTTGATCCAGTCCTTGTCATACAATCAGAAGCATCAATAGAAAGTAGACCACCCCATTGAGGTACAAGTGCATAGTCGGTTATTACTACAGATGAATATGATGATATATGAAATCTTAAAGGTAAGGGACAGTCAACTCCGTGTGAATTATTTCTTTTAAAAGTATTTAATAACAAAAAAAGATGTAGACCTGGATTAGAACGAGCCACATCGAGACTATCTGCATACGCTGTTTGAGGAGGTCCCAAAAATGATTCTAAATAATTAATCAGATTGGATATATCACCTTGAGAATAAAATGTATAGTTTCCGGTTTTTGACAATTGACTAGAAAGAGAATTAAGTAAAATATAATTTAAACAGACAGAGTAAAAGTTATCGTTATAATTCAAATTGCTTTTTTTGATGAGATTAAGTAAGCCTTACAAAACAAAGAAATCAGTTCGAAACAAATCATATTTATGGCAGATATCTCATAAAGATATAAGCTACTAAGTTAAAATATAATTTTCAGTTGAAAAAATAACAATCTCCTAGTTTTGAATTGTTTCCGCTAAAGTTGGCGAGGATTATTCGAGTACATAATCCTCTAGAAATCTTATTTGTATCATTAAGCTGTTCTACTTCCCATTACTACCAAAGCCTTAATCTCACTAGTCCAATACAATACATTGGAGTGTGCATGCACTGTGCTCTCTTTATCTAGTTCTGATTCGGTAGTTGTGACTAGAGTACGTACTGGTTACAAATGAGAATTTACTAACTGCTATATTGAAATAAATGAGACCCATTCTACCATTTTCGAAATGAATGTGCATTTTGATGTATAAATAACAAAATGTGATTTATCACGGCTTAATTCTCCTGCAAACCATTTTGACAGAATGCTTGTATACACGCTTTATAGCTATCAAGATAACTTTGGATAGGATGTGAATTTTCTGACTGTGAAAGTGACATCACACTGAAGTTCTCTAATGACTTCGGAACTGTTTGATTCATCATATCATTGATTAGGATTTCTATCTCTCATATGTGAACTGTGAAAATGCCCAATATCTGAAATGATACCAAAAACATGATTCAAGTTTAAGTCATTCAGAAAATGATTCTCACAGACTAGATCATATGATACAGAGTTCTGACCAACAATTGAAGACCAGATTACCTGAGCCAAGGTAACCATCTGTTAAGTGTGAAATCTAGAGCACATTACAGTGAAGTTAGTCTTTTACGTATCATAACAGTCTTAATGCTAGATACTTATCTGCTTCGCTCAGAAACCTAATTACAGATCGCTTTGCCGTAAAACATCAGTTTTGTGTAGAAATGAGCACCAAAACTGTGCGATACATGAGGAGTTATTACCTGAGCTCTTAAAGAGAAACAAGCGGTTTACTTAGAGAAATATACACCAAGTCTTTTACTTAAGTACATAATCCATAATGCATTGAGATATCATCAGAACAGGGAATTCACAGTAGGTTTGCACACTATTCGTTCGCTTCGGATCTAGAAGCCATTATGTACCATTGCTTTGGAATCACAAATTTTAACCTCCATAGTCTAGACATCTGTATCTACCAACCGAATTTTAGCGTCTGATTTCTATTTCCAACCTTTCATTTTGTAGGAAAACCACACCACACCAAGACAGAGGGGTGCGGATCCCCTGTAGAAGGTTATAAAAATATGACTGCATAGTAGCAATTCGAGAGGGACTTCTCTACGTATGGCCACATTGTGATTATCGCTCTTCTCACCGTTTGGAATATCAATATTCAGCTGTTTTTGGTTGTTGATGTATTCCAGTTAATTAATAAAACCGTGTTAAATGTCCAGGGTACTCAACAAAACGATAGTGTGAACATATAGAAGTTGTAAAGCAAAACAGAGGATTACCAGTTGTCGTCCACAGGAAAACTTGGTGTTCAGCTTCAGTCTTTGCCTACTAACTATTCAAATCCAGCATCGGTCAATATTTTGCCGAATTCCCATCCACCTTTACTTAATGTATGTCATATTATTGAAATGAAACAATGCAAAGCGGCATTTATGTGTCAGTAATGACAACTATATTGTAAACTAAGCTTAATTACAAGCATTCCACATAACCTGATAAATCAGCAAGTTATAACGAGGATTAGACTACAAAAGCCGAAAAATTTATTGTCGCCCATGACATATAGCTGTTGAGATTGGCAGAATGAAACAATGTTTATTAAAACTTATCACAGTAAATAAGACTTAAATATTCCACAAGTGTTCAAACGTAATAATCGGTATTTCAACTGAAGTCATATTTATAAATCAGCGATATGTCTGTCGAACTCGAAAAAATGGTGCTTGCAGTTCTATGAATATATATTCCCCAAAATGACAGATACATAACAAGCAGTTACATAATTCTGATACCATAATGGAAAATACATCTAGGTAGTCCGAGCACACCTAGCTGTTAGACTGTAAAGATATATCCGGAGTGAACACCACGAAATTTCCTGATGTTTCGTGACTCAGTCAATCAAAACAAACGAGTTTGACCAAGTTGATGTCGTTTCACTCAGGTCAAGGTAATTTATGTAAGACATACTTATATATTTGTGTCTATTAATGGATGAAAAACTTGATACATGTAATAAGAAAGGATAGAATTGAATTTGTATGTATGGTAATAGTGTGAGATGTGAATAGAATCAGATATGGCAGCTCAATAGATGGTCGTCCAAGACCTTCTATTCTATTGAGGCCTATAGGATTCAGCAATATATGGAAAGCTTCAGCCACTGGCAATTCTTCGCAGCTGGAAAAGCTTTTTTCTATTATTTTGATATTCTTAACATCGACGTGATGGTTATTGAAGATATTATGCACTCCTATAACCGATTCAACTCGGATTCTTTCAGGTTCTACAGGATCATTAGGTGGCTTTTTGTGTACCTAAGATGGCTTGAATCAAGATTACACGAGATGACTCTCCGATACAGAAGGTACCACTATCGACATAATCTTATTTGTAAACGCAATTCTGTGTTGACTTAAAGTGAATCCTATCCTTTATATGAACTGAAGCAGTTTGAAGAATGGTGGTTGTTTTGTAGTATGCTATGATTCTGTATTGTTTTAAGACTCTTTGGAGTTCTTCTGTTGTACCGTGGCGGTATGGTAAAATACAGTATCAATCCATGGTGCTTCTTTCAAACTATTGTTTAGCAGTAAATAATCTCGTTTTAATGTATTTTTATAATAATTTTCATAGGAAAATTATTGAATTGTAAGATGTTAATTATGTGCTTTTGTTTATCCATTTCAGATATAATGTTGTTTGCTTTTCTAAAAAGATTTATGGTCAGAAAGATTTTTGAACTGAATCAAAGTGCCGAATTGAAGTTAATATGACGATCCGACAGTGTTAGTTTTCTGTAGATGGTTAGATTTAGAGCTTCAATTCACTTCCTTTTAATTAAGTAGTGTGAAAATGAGAGCTGACTGTGTTTATTTTCATTCTTGCAAGTAAAATAATTATGGGATGAGAGTGTATTGATCAGTTTAGTAAAAGTATGTAAGAGAGTCTTTTTCATGAAGAAAAAAGTGACATGATATTGACTTGGCTAAACCTATTTTTTGACTGATCGTACTATATATCTGTTTTATTTATTTGTACTATTTAAACTTGGGTTAGTTTAATTTGTTTATTTATTCTCCGATGAATTCATGAAACGTCATTGGGATGTTAAAAATACATCATTTTTATTAGCAACAATCTAACGAACATTCAATTTATTTGAAGTCAAACCTTGGTAACGATACCTAAAAATTATCTATTATACGGGATTTCATTGGTAGGTAGTCTATTTTTGATAAAGTGGTCCAACATATAATGATACTTACCTTTTTTTCAACAGTTCAGCACTAACTCCATAAAGTCTCTGTGAATAGAAATCGACTTGAACAAAAGGCGACCAATTTTTAAAAGCTGATCCTACGTGTGCTTTTAACCATGGTATAGGATTTATCAACATTTCATTAGTCCAAACCGATATTTCATTAGATTCTTCTACTAATTGTGAAACAGAATCATCGAGTGTAAGCACTGTAACAGTTACATCGTACATACTAGATACAAACAATGGTTTATCTATAATTTTCGAGATTTGATTGTACTGACCAGGAGACAAATTTGCAGGATTATCGTATTTTCGTACAAGTTTCTAAATGGGATTTCGAAAGCAGATATTTCAATAACAGCCCACTTGCAGACGAGAAAGTAGTTTATTAAATTTAATGTACAGGAACAACTAAATAAAACTTTTACATAACCGCGACTACATAACAACGTTCGCAAATGACATAAACTATTTGTTTCAGGAAGCCAGTAGGTCCTGGGTTCGAATCCTGCGGGGTGCGGGATCGTGGATGCGCACTGCTGAGGAGTCCCATACTAGGACGAAACGGCCGTCCAGTGCTTCCAGGTTTCCAACGGTGGTCTAACATCAATTAATTCATGATCTCAACCAAAAACTTAACAATCTCCACAACCCCCATACTGAAAACAAAAGAATTAGGCTTAAAATATACTATATCTTATAAAAAGTTAAACAGATATAATCCCAAGTCAAACACATTAAAACTGCGTCAAAGCGAACACTTATTGCTTTAAACATTCAAAAGAAAGATGTAAATAATCGTTAAAATTTACAGTTTCCCGTTTACATAAATTTCGAAATGGAGAATTAAAATAACTCTAATAAAATCTTATGATATAAAGAAAATACGAATCTTTTGGGATTTATAGGAGTAAATCATACAAGTGAATAAAACTCACCATAACAGTATATATAGCATTTAAGTACAGGTAAATATGTTTATATATTGGCTTGTATAATATGATAAGAGGTGAAAATGATGAATACATTTAACCAAAAATGTTTCAAACAGTCAACAAATTTTTATAGTCATACATGGCTGGAAGTTAGATGAGCTTATATATGGTTGAAAGTAACTAGGTATATCATGCAAACTACTTGTGAGTAAAATCAGATATAACATTAGTATATATACTGAAACATTTATTCCCCTCAGTTAAAAAGACCAAAAGCTAGAAATAAATTATAATATAATTTGATACGAAAATTTGAGTAGTAGTGGTGATTGTCACATAAATATATAGGCTATTTAATTAAACCTAACAATCTCTTAAATGATATTTACAAATAAGTAAACAATAAGAAAACTCATTAGAATTTCAAATTCATGTATAACGAGGCGAAACAATGTAAGAGACTTAGCTTCTATGTATGCGAATGAATATAATAATACAAAACTAAATCTGTAATTTATACGAAACATTCTACAAAAATAACCTGACCGAGTTACGTATTCAATCGCGATTTCTTATTGACGATATCAATAGGAAACACGGAAATGAACGGGTGGGAGATTAAATTTTTCAGCTGTGGTAACAACTACCACGAGCACAAGAGATAATTTCATAAGCCACTATTAAGTCTTATGAAACAAAATTACATCTGAATTTTGTGCTGATGATTTCGTTCAGAAGAAAGATGAAAGCTCCACGACCAAACCATCCAGCTCAGAGAACAAAACTCCACCCAAATCATCCACCTGAGCTACAAATCTTCTCCACCATCTTACATTGTGCAGTTTCCATCATAAACTGACCTTAAATAGGCAACCATTCCAGATCAGGAAGCACTGTATAATCCATTTACCCTATTATCAAATTCCTAAGCAATGCATAATCACAACCTTATCGGGAATCGAACCTACGATTCTTAGGTCTTGTGGCCACGCCCCCAAATGCCTTGGTATGGCCCAGAGTGGGGTGAGCCCGCCCTCCCCCTAGAAATGCCCTCACACGGCCACGCGTATATAGCCTCTGCCAGGGAAGTCCTACTTACTGCCTTCTCGTGACGGGGGAGTTGTTTAGGAAAACGAGAGGAGAAAAGCGAATGTCCGGCGCTTTAACCTGATCCCAAACCAAATCAATGGTGCACATGGGCTCCAGTATCCTGCGGGAACAAATGGCGTATGAAACCAATCGTAGGTCACCAGCTACCATGGGACTGCATCTCCTCACGACGTTCCACTGCCTTGTGGGTTAGACCTTTAGGTCAAAGGCTCGGGGTGTGGCCCCCTAAGGAAACCACCCGCTTCGGTTTGGGCACTCATGTAGTATCTCAGCCCGCACACAAAAACATGACAAACTATCCTGGACGATGGGCAGAGTTCTTCGAAAAGCAGACCAACTGGTCTGCTGCTCCGACAACATCGGTCAGACTGTCCCGCCCTCCATAGCCGGTGACGACTGATCCACCAAATGAGGCGGAAGTCTGCAAGGAACTCCGACTCTTTAAACGCTACAAATCACCTGGCCCAGATGACTTACCTCCGGCTCTTTTTAAAGATGGTGGTGACTTTCTGGCTAAGGAACTGACGACGTTGTTTACAAAGGTGTGGGAGCTAGAGAGTGTACCAACGTCATGGAATGAGTCGATAGTTGTCCCTATCTTCAAAAACGGTTCACGTCGTTCCTGTAACAACTATCGAGGGATAAGTCTACTTCCGATTGCGTCCAAGCTATTGGCTTCCGTCATACTTTGTAGGTTGTTCAAAACCAGAGAAAGATTGACTTGCGGGGATCAGGTTGGTTTTCGTTCTGGTCGAGGATGTATTGATCATATCTTCACCCTCCGCCAAATGTTAGGACACCGCCATACTCATCAAAGGCCAACAATCGTAGTGTTTCTTGACTTCAGGGCTGCCTTCTATTCGTTGGATAGGACTGTTCTCTGGGATTGTCTATTGAAGTAGGGTGTGCCTGAGAAGTTTATTAACATTCTAAAGGCCCTATATACAAACACCTCAAGCAGAGTGAGGGCATACAACCACCTCTCTCCATTGTTCTATTCGAGCAGTGGGGTTAGACAGGGTTGCCTAATCTCACCATTCCTCTTCAACTTTGCCTTCGATGACATTCTGGAAACAGCTCTGATGAATGTAAGTAATAGCGGTGTAAATCTGTTGCCTGGAGAAAGACTTCTCGACCTTGAGTATGCGGATGATATTGTCTTACTGAGCGATAATGCCCAAGCCACGCAATCCGCACTTAATCACTTGGCAATCAGTGTCCGTAGGTATGGTATGCGCTTTGAACATTCGAAGTGCAAAGTACTTCTACAAGACTGGCAGGATTCTAATCCTGTACTCACTCTGGATGGTGAGCAAATAGAAGTAGTCGAGAAGTTCGTGTATCTGGGTAGCTGTATAAGTGCAGGTGGGGGTGTGAGTGATGAGATCGATGCACGTATAGTGAAAGCTAGAGCGGCTTAAGCCAATCTGGGCCATCTTTGGCGCCTTCATGATGTCAGTCTGGCTGTAAAAGGTCGGATCTACAACGCATCGGTGAGAGCAGTTTTGCTCTATGCCTGTGAAACCTAGCCTCTCCGAGTTGGGGATGTTACACGACTCTCTGTGTTTGATCATCGTTGTCTCCGAAGGATTGCTGACATCCAGTGGCAACACCATGTCAGTAATACAGAGGTTCGGCATCGTGTGTTCGGGTACAGAGACGATAATTCAATTGGTGTCACTATCTTGAAACATCGACTTCGGTGGCTCGGACATGTTCTACGAATGTTGTCCCAGAGAATCGTACGTCGTACATTATTTGCCGACACTGGGACTGGTTGGAAAAAGCGGAGAGGTGGTCAGTGTATGACATGGTGTCGTAGTATGAAAGAAAGCTGCAAAGGGCTGGCTTGTGTTGGTCCCTCACGAATCCCTAGCTCGGGTCCTAGAGATGGTGCAACACAGTGGCTAGAGAAGTTATCAGATATGGCTCAGAATAGAAGCCAGTGGCGATCCTGCTGTGAACTTCTTTTACTTTCTTTATAAAAAGTGGTTGTATCTTCCTTAACTGAAAGATTTCTCCTGATTGTACCTTTCCGTTCTCCCCATTACTATTATTACACTTCCTTACACCAATCTGGTCGTTATTGTTCTTTTTTTTTACGCTCCTTACCGTCTTTTTTCTCTTACCATTTTCATTGTTTTGTGTGGTGCATATATATTTGGTGCCCTCTTGTACCAATATTTATGTGTTCAAATAAATAAATAAATAATGCGACCACTGTTTAACCTTTGAACCACCGAACCAGCATCCAACGACTTATATGTGTAAATTTCATCAATTCGTAGTATTTCCCAACTGTCTTCCAATGTCATTTGTAGGTAATTGCTGCATACACAACATAGTTGAAATCAACCACAACAGAACTACAGGGGATTATCGCACAAAACTGGTCACTAGTGAACATACGATTATTATTTAGTACTGGGGTCAGTCTGTAATTTAAACCATAAAATTCAAAAATTTTCATAATTTTTACATTATTTAAGTCTAAAATTACTATTGCAAATGTATGAGAGAGTAATTTCACTTACCATAAGATGATTGGTTTGTATCAAAACATTATCTAATAAATATTTTATATGTAATGCTAATACCTCTGGAAGTTGACTATTTTCACTTGACATAATTGTCGGTGGAATAAAAATGTAGATTAAATTCAAATGTAATAAATTTCTAATAATTGAAAATGGTTTCATTGATGTAGTAGATTTGTTAAAATTCATCCCCTCTAACCATAAATTATCAATATTGACCATTGGTAATAATAGAAAATGATAAACAGATGAACTGCTGTTTCTTCTTTGTTCAATAAGATGATCGCTGTCAACGACAAAATGGTAAACTATTGTAATAATTAAATTAAAATGAAAATATACATACATAACATCAATGCACTGAGAAGTCGGTTTACAAGATGGTGGATACACGTACCATAATCAAATAAATAAAACTATTAATTCAGATCAATCGATTGTAAAAGTAATCATAATATGTGAAAAACTATCCCTATACTAAATAAATATCTAATTAGTTGAGAGCGTGATAAAACTAACTAATCAATTCTATTTTTATTGATCGAATAAAATACTGAACTTTTATGATAAACAGAAATCACAGAAATATTCCATACGGTTATTGTTACACTGTCACCAGAGAAAAAAAAGTTTCAGATTCCAAAATATTCGCATAATCATCTTATGCATTGAAGGCGGAGAAAAAACATATTGACATAAATGCCATTTATCAAATTCAATAAATATTTAAATGTTATAAAGAAATGAAAACATTTTTATCAATGTAAGTATGCGTGTAGCTTCATCTGTAGTTAGGTATCATTACCAAGGTTTGACTTGATAATTTCGAATAAATTGAGCATCTAAGATCCTTTTCAAAACAGATCAATACACTTTAATCGCACATCAAATTTACTAACGAGAATAAAAGTGAACATGGTGAGCTACCATTTTAGATTGCTTAGTGAAAGGAAATCTAAATGGAATTTTAAATCTATCCATCTACCGAAAACCTACACACTCTAATCGTTATATTGATTTTAATTCAGCACACCCATTCAGTGCAAAGATCTCGCTAGCCCTAAATCTTTTTACAAGAGCTAACAAGATTATCACATCGGAAGAAGATGAACAAAAGGAACTAAAAAATGTAATTAGCATCTTGCAATTTAATAAATTTTCTATGAAGATTATTAAAAGTAAATTAAAACGAGACGTTTTATTGCGTAATAATAGTAATTCGAATGAAATACCATGGATTGGTACTGCAGTTTGACTATACTGTCATGGCACAACAGAAGAACTTCAAACAATCTTAAAACAACACAGAATTAAAGTATATTACAAAACAACGAAGACACTTCAAAATACTTTAGTTCGCTTAAAAGAAAAAGTTCCCCTTCATGTCAATACAGAACTGTGTATATAAATTAGGATTTGTCGATTGTGATACCTTCTATATTGGGAAGATATCTCGTGAAATCTTGACTCGAGCCAAAGAACATATTAGGTACACAAAGAAACCTGATAATCCCATAGAACTGGATAAACTCCAAATTATATTGGCAAAATCAGTCCACGCAATTTTCATCGACCACCAAATCGATTTCAAAAATATCAAAATACCACAAAAAGGTTTTTTCAATAACAAGGAAAGGAGAGTAGCTGAAGCTTTCTATATAATACTTAATCTTACTGCTCTCAATAGAAAAGAATGCCTTACTATACGTCATACTTGGACCACCTATTCTAGCCATCTAGTCTGATATTATTCACAATTTACACTATTATCTTACAAATTAAACTCTATCCTTTCTCACCATAGAGGTCACACATTTTTCATCCTTAACAGTGCAAACATGCACATACACAAATTTACATACATGTCGCTTATAAATCACATTGACCGAAACGACATAACATTGATTTCTTCAGCCCTGTCGTTTGATTGATCACATAATATTCTTGTTGTTCGATTTATACTATTTAAACTTGGATTAATTTTGATTTGGTTATTTATTCTCTGAAGAAGTGGCTCACACCAAGTCACCAAACGTCAGAAAATTTATTTTTTCTACTCACTGGGATATTACAAATATATTAATTTATTCGTCTGTACCTCTTCAAAGGTTAGTGCCGATCCAAAGTCGGTGGGAATAAAATAGGTAAGCGGAAAACACCAACTGCGATATACCAAATAAAAGGTATTTTAGCGAAGATATCTTTTATAGGAAAATTTTGTTCGAATGCCGAAGCGTTATTAGCTACCAATCCATGCTACTGGTACGAATTAATATAACGACCATGGACAAATTACTTAAATATTTCAAGACCTATTTTTATGTTAGACAAAACTCTTATGGAGTGTGGAGTAATGTTTCCTAAAATTGTTGATATTGTCGCTCACCATGTTTACAAAATTATGAATGGTCTCACTCTATTGTAACAGTAAGTTGAGTGGATAAGGAAACAATTCTACTGAAGTTGAAGGAATAAAGCATTGAGTATGCATGGATAAAAATGGACAAAGTGATCAATCCTCACAAGTTACGCTAAACCATTAAATGTGATAAGCTTACGACAAAAACTGGAACAATAATATAAGTGACCAAAGAAACACTGGGCTATGAAATCAAAATAGGATGATAACTTATAGTTAGCTTACAATGTCCTCATTTTCAGTGATGACTGGTAGTAATTAGATCCAGAGCCGAGACTGTTACTAACTCTGGTTTATATTAGTTAAACTATATGAAATTTCAATGTTAATTTCTGGTATATACACTGATGTCTGGTAAAAGTGAGACTGAAAAGTCATACGTTAAGTCACCATTTCACTATTAATAGACAAGATTAAACGATTCTTTAAGAAAAAAAATCAAAGTAACATATATGCAGCAAAAATTTCACAAAAACTGACAAAGTTATATTAAATAAAGCTAATACTGTTCTGCCACAGATATATTATCATAGTGTTTTGTTATTGTACGGCATATATGTGGAGCAGGAATGAGATACAAAATTTATTCAGGAGTGGGGTTCAACAATTACTATTACCTTTAAAATGATGGCAAAATGTTCACTTTATTAAAATATTGTGATCTAAACTGGTATGTTTAACCACACCAAGAAAACATTAATTCTCTTGCTTAAAAAATGATGTTTGTTTATTCGTTGAATCAATCAACAAACCCTGTTTATGTCAATAACTCTTGAGTTCTAATTCTATAATCAATATTTGAATTGTATACAATATTCCACTATGAATAAGCGATTCAATATAAAATTGTATATTTAGAAATTATTTAATAGCTTCTAGGTTAATTAATTCATTAAGCGTTTTTATCCGACAAACTACAAACTTTTAAATAAAACAGAACATAAATATATCAATCTTGTCCTGAAAAGTATGATGAATTTAAACGCTACTACTGATATTAACTAGTAGTAGGCTGTATTTCTTACAGATATGTCAGCAGTGAACAGTTATCACCAATGGTATCAAATGATTGGAAGCTGACCTAACAGTTTAATGTCTAGGAGTTAGCCACGAGACCCGCAGTTCCCGAGTCCAATCATGGTTAGAGTTGTGAGTGCGCAATACTGAAAGGCGTCATACAATGATTAGACACCCATCCACTGATCTTTAGTTTTCAAAAGTATACTGAAATCAATTTGTGACGAATATAACCCACAAATTAAGCTAACCTCTGTAAAATCACTTCAATTTAACTTCCAGAACGATAACAATTCAATGGCGTCATTAAGATCGCTTTGATTAAATTGTGCATCACCATCAGAACGGAATGATAAATGTTTGTCAATAGATTTACCCACTATACTATCTATCAGACTGTAAATCTACGACAGTCCGTAAGAATAATGTCAGATTTTCTGTTAAATTTTTTTATTGATGGATGCTGAAACCGTTTTTCTATTTAGGCTTTATCAACTAAGTTCCTTAATTTAATTTTCAAAAACGATGGAAGGACTTTTGTGGAGATTGATCTCAGTTGAGGTACCACTGAAAATTCGGAGGCACAAGATAACTGAATGGGAGGAAGAGGAAATAGCTAGGAAGAAACTACGAGGAAATGGCTGTTCACCGCGCTCCCGTTTCCAAGGGTACGTCAACTGAAATCGTTAAGCAACGGATACAACCTACAAATTTTCAAACTATTCAAATATTACTTTACTTTTCAAAGCTCTTCAGAGTGTCTTTTATATCGAAAGCATTCAATAAGCTTAAATTTTTTTCAAATGTTAACCAAAAGCTAAGAATATCATTTGAAAGCGACTTTGTATATGTTCGGATTTCTAAATGATTCATCATTTGTCTGGTATTTACATGATAATTCATTAAAATTTCATCAGAGCCATCTGTCACCGTAAATGCTTGCTGCTCCAAATTAAAACGGGTAAATATTTCACTGATTTGGTGTAGACTTCGATCATCAAGTTCAGCATGAAAATTGAGCACATTGATCTGATGAGAGGTAAGAAAATAGAAGTAAACAAACAATAACCTATTTAAAACAGCTTGTAACAATGAAGTTTATCATATTTTTAACTGCCTCTGAATCATTTGGCATATTCCATGTGGCGACAACATATTATTATTATTCTTAATGCTAATATACACATATGTAAAACCTTGATCGGGACCAAGCAAATGAGCAAAAGCACCATATGGTAAATGACCTAACTACATAGTAATGATACTTTCAAGGAATAATCAGTTAACCATAAAAACAAAAGTTTCAATAACGATCCTTATGTTTTTGCTTTATCGATACGATGAATAGGTGTTGAAGTACAAACGCCGCATGTATTCAGTTTTTGTTTAACGAACAGTTGTTAATATAATTATCAATCTCACCCTCCACCTCATCCGTCCGTCGAACTAAAATAACTTGTGAAATTGTCTTTTCCTCGGTAAACCATGTTTAAGTGCAACCACATCAATGGTAGGAGTTTTATTATCGTTAATTTTTACATTCCTTCAGTTTGTTTCCACCAACTGGTAACTACTTCTTATTCATCTAGCTGCACAATTAACACATACAGTTTGTTCATGTAGATTGATTACAACTGGCTGCTTTCATTGGGATATCTTAAATAATAAAATTTAGCCTTGGGTCAACACTTTACTGCATCAAATAGAAAACCTTATCTGAAACAACTATCACTGAGTAATTACAACACAATCACGAATTAATCGATGTAAACTAATAAGTTCTGCGCTTACCTGTACAAGCGAGAGTTCACGATACTAGGTAAATTGTCAAATAGACGAAACTGTTACTACTACCTTGAAGTGGTGTTTGGGATTTGATAATTAAATAACTCAATAAAACTAAACTAGCTGAAACCATACCAGATAGGTTGATTGGAGTTTGAAAACTGAAAGCAGTAAACTTAAGGTCTAGAAGTGAATTTGTACTCCCGTGTGCATAGATCTGTAACTACAGTGTGGTGTTTTCCAGATAAAACCAGCACCTGCAGCGATGATATCTCCTCATAACAGAAGGAGCGTGTTAGAAAAAATCCCCTCTACAAATAACACAACATACCGTGCTACACCGATTTCCGTCGTCAGCGACAAGTTTTGAAAATTACGGAGTTAACAAATAAAGACCTACTAGCAAGAGGCGTGTGCGACTGACCATAATTAAACATTATCCAGTGTTACCAACACCACCCTCCTAATCCAGTTTATTTTTCACATAACTCCAGACGTATCCATTTTAGCGTGGGTAACTTCGAAGTCAAGATCACTTATATCTCTATTTGAACATAATAACACCATTTTAATCACGACCAAATCTCACCTATCTATTTCCGAGACCCATCATCTGTCATCTGTCTTTGACTTCTCCCATATGTGCCACCAGTGTTCATGATTCGAGTTTATGGAATACTGTCCGAGGTATCTTGAAACTAAATCGAAGTGAAATGAGTATTGAATACCTGGACTTTAATGGTCAAAAATTAACTCCTCCAACCACTTCTTATATAATTACCAATGCGGAGTAGGTAGTCCATCACCTGGAGTATTCGTCTTTCAACCAACGTGTCGTATGCTACAATTCTCATCCCCGTTTCTTCAACCGGGTATTATATATATATATATATATATATATATATATATATATATATATATTTCATGCCCTCCATACAACTACTGCAACCACAAAGTCAAGTAGGCACATCTATACTTCGTAAATAAATTGGACGGAAATTAAACTTTTCAAAGTCCCATTTATCTTAAATAAATAAATAATCACTAAACAATGTTACTCCATTTTAAACACATCAACAAGTTACAAAAAACCATTATAAACGCATCGGACTCAATTCACCAAATGAAATTTCGCTCAACACATACTTACTGGTACAGTTATCTCAATTTTACGCGAGCTTAATATTTGAATCTCATTATAAGGCAATGAAGCGTGATATGGTGTAGTAGTTTTCCACCATAAAGGTACTCCAATCAGAATTGTAATCAGCAAATAGAATATTGAGTTGACGATAGTCTTGCATTTTTCTTCAGGCGTTGCTTGATATGTTTGTAATTCTGGATAGTTGTCAAGAGATGTTTTGAAATGAGATGATGACTTGTATGAATTATGCATCATCATTGTCATTAACAATCCTGTAAAATATGAAGCACACAGAATATTGAGATGAAGAAAAGTGTGATGAACACAGCTAGATATAGACTTGTGTGCACTAGACTAGATTTACAAATTCCCCATTAAGTATGAAAGTTAATTGCACTACTCCCACTAATAGTGTTCGTGCGTTTACATAGATTATTAGTTAAGCATTCACCTTCCCGATAAGTAGATCAGAATTTTGGACTTTGATCCACTCATAATTTAGAAAGTCACATATTTGTAAAGTCTCAATCAGTAGAAAATCGAAACTCCCGAGTTGCTACCCACAGAGAATATACAAACAACCATATCTTACATGGTTGCAATTATATCCTACTGCAGAGTAAGGTAAAACTATCGTAACAGCCTATGATATTTCATTACTTCTTTTTAAACAAATCACCCCGTCTTAAAAAGTATTCATAAGAAAGTTACTGAGCGCCAAGATCGTCATTGTATTCGCCTTCTGATTTAAAAGTTTTGGTAATTCTTCTGAATGAATTTAAAGCGCTGAAAATTCCTCCACTAAATAATATGTGCTATCGAACTCGACATACTGATTAGAACATGTCGGTTTACGGCAAATGACTACATCCAGAATTCCATTTAAACTTCCTTTGAGTAAGCAGTCTAACAATGACACCTCAGTGAGTTCGTTTTCATTTCCGAAAGTGGATAAAAATGTGAATCTATATGGAACATGAATAAATAAGCAACAATCAGGAACATAGGTGGGACTCACGTCCACTTTGTTTTCATCTATAGTCCTTCTTTGAATGTAAATAAGATCGAATTGAAGCACAGTTTGAGGAATAAACTGATGTTTGAACGATTCTAGATAGCCAACAACGAAATAACCAGAACCTTTATTAATAACGTTGTAAACACCATATCCATCAAACAAATCAATGTCTACCCGGATTCAGTAGCTCAGTGAATAACGCTCTCATGTTTGAAGTGAAAAGGTACAGGAGATTGAGTCTTAATGTGAATATCAACACTAAGACGCAGACACATTCAACCGATGAGTCTGAAACGGGAAGAAAGTCTGTCGTATCCTCTTGTTAGTCACAGCTCATCTATTGTGCGAAATCTCATTAGATCTCATAACATAGAAACTAATGAAGACAAAACAATCGTGAGTATTCAAATTCCTAAAATCAGATTAAGATGAAAACCTTTTCTCACGGTAAGAATCAAAATAAGGTTTTATCGGGAATCAATGTCAGCTACAGAAAATTAATCAAAACCATGATGGAAATCTGCTCGTTTCCACAAACATTAAGTAATGACAAACAGTCATTTGGTCATTCATTTATAAGTAGTTTCGATATGAATTCTGTGAAATTCTAGAGAGGTGCTATGATGTGTGAAATTAATCCAATCCGGTGGGAAACACTTACTCACGGAATTGACTTTAGTAATAAATCTGGACCACTGAATATTGTATTCGCACAGATACCAGGTGATTAAGTATTGAGGACTGGTCAGAAGTATTAACCAGAAACGAGTTTATATGTGGTTCCTGATTTTCATAGTACTTTAACTGAAATCAGTTCCTGGTGAATAATAATGTTGGGAAACTATCCACTAATGTAATACCCTTATACAACTATCCTATACATTTGTTGAATAGATATATTCATAGAGATATGGTTGAATGATTTCGTCAATCAAATTTCAACCATTAAGCCACAAATCGGAATAAATCTTTATTTAACTAGGTTTGGAAAGTCAAGTATTTTCTTCTACCTGCAAACAAAACGTGTAGTTCAAAGCTTGATAAATCAGTGTTTAGTTAACGAATTGGATTAACAGTTTGTTAATTTTTGGTGAAATAATAAACAACAATCACAACATATAACACTAATAGAGGAAAGAAATTAGAGGATAAATGTAATATATTTATTTGTTTATAGAATAAAATAGTTTTGTCCATAAAAATCAAACATCATAAATGATCTTCTCTTGGATCGAAAGACAACTTTTCCATAAGTTCTGTAAATCTAGAAATATCATCATTATTATCAATTTCATTATTCTTTTCCAAAGATTGAAATTTTGAAGTATTTGATTGATTTAAGCGACTGAATCGGCAAACTTCGGAATAAGCAGGATCTACAGGAACTTGTACTGGTGGCTTGACTATATGATCAGGGTCTAAAGTATACGTGACATCTGGGTCAAAACCTCTTAAATCTCCACACGCCATGAATGGTAATAGAGCTTGTTGAGAAGAATTAACCTAACAAATAAACAAACAAAAATGTTCCAAAATCACTATAGCTTAACTCTATATTCGATTTGTGAATGAGAGTATCAACCAAAATAATAAGGTCATCTTATTCTTGTGACTAATTATTTACTTAATCATTCAATAGGAAAATTAATGCAACATAAAGATAAACGTTTACATTTACAGGCTGAAAGAATGACGTTTAAATGTTTTGCTATTTGATTTGTAACGAATTATTTGGAGCTCAGCATTCTTACAGCAGTCATAGATAACGAAGTATTTTCATACATTTCTATACATCGGTCCCCAAAATCTCATACTTGAAAACAGGAATGACCAATGGTTGACCACAACCACTACTCAACTTCAAAAATATGATTGTAAAGAAATAAACATAGCTATAAACAGAACATGAGAACGGAATATTCTCTTGGCATTTTGCATAACAAACTGAGTATTGAAGGCATAACATGTTAACATACGTCTTCAAAGTTATCCTTGTCGTACCATAATAATAGCAAATTATCGTTGCTTGAATGATTCTCAAAAGATGTGGATGGTTTCAAATCTGTCCGTAAACGAGGACCCATAAATCCACGACATACAACAAAGGACTCTAAACTAGAGTTCCGACTAGCTCTTGGTTTTGCAAAACTAACTTCACCCGAAAACAAAAGTCGGAGTTGGGAACCTAGTAAACCAGAATCTCGTCCACGAAAAACCTTAGCAACAAATGTACCACCAAGCTCAAGAACTCTTGAACAGATAGTTATAGCAGCTAAGATAAGATGCGACTGAACATATTCATCCAAATCATGTAGACCTGTCACTACAAAAATAATAAGAAAAATGTTAGCAAGATCATTAATACGTGGAGTAAGGATTTTAAGATAAAAGTACACTACTCAATAAAAATTGGCAGTAGAACACAAAGAGTAAAAAAAAAAATAAACCTAATACAAAGTGGTATATATTTATACCAAAAGTTTAAACGGACAGAAGTCAAAACTTATACATAATCAATTTACAAATAGAAAGTTATTAACTTGACAAGCTCAAACTCACTTACCATCTGGAGCACCATCACAAACAACAAGTTGAGCTAACTTGCCGTCAAAATGTCTTATAATCTGTTGAGCCGTATCCTGACTAGTAATATCGCCTTGAATTTGAATAACTCCTGGTATTGGGGCCATAGCCTGTAGATCCACGGCAACGATTTTCACCTTCATTAAGAAATATCAATAATGAAATCTCAAAATGTATGCAGTACAGATTTTTGATCCTCTGGGGATTTTGATTCCCATAAACGTTTTGATAATACTTGTGACCAGCTACCAGGTGCAGCACACAAATCAACCACTCGTTCTAAAGGAGCATTTTCTGTAAAAGTGGGGAAGCAAAATAAATGGCAATAGGAGCTCTGATCTTTAATTCGAAAAAGTTCCCGATTTACAAACCAATCTGTAAAAAAACTGTTATTATTAGTTGACAAAATCTCATGTAAATACACCATATTCTTGAGTTGTAGCCGCTAAGACTATCTGAAGCCACCACGATGTGCAAAATTCATTAAAAGCAATTGATTATTTCAATCGACTTGACATTTAGTAATTTATTGGTACGACCGCTTTCCATCTATAACTTTGCAAGCTCTGAGATTGCACTAGTAGAATACTGTATCAAATTTAGCTATGTTTTAGTCAGTCGAATGCTATGATGATATGAGGGTCAAAGTGGATTTTTCAACGAAAACCTTAAACTAATGGTAGATTTCACTACTCACTAGCCAAGGAAAACTTATATGTAGCTGACGAACCGTTGGAATAGTACAGAAAAATCTATGACAACAAGTCTCAAACTTATGTGTAAACCAATTTAAACGCTTCTTTATTCAACTTACTAGTTTACATTGCCATTAATGATTGGACATCGTTGCATCTACTTTGTCGCGGTGGTTAAGTTTGTTTACTATAACGAAACAACTGAGTTATATTCCCTACATCACTTGTTTCTCTTCATTTTGCTAATAGACAAATCCGCCGGAAAGTAGGCTAACGGAAAGGAGTGAATTTCAGGTCCAAGAAGAAAATCCTGATTACTGGCCCTATTCAAAGTGTGGTGGGAACAGCCTTTCCCAGACAACCGGCAACACCGCTTTTAAATAAGTAGCAGAGTTGAAATAGGTTACGAGTAAAATAAGCACATAATCTTAGCTCCAATAATTCTCCTTTCTTATAGTGCAGTTTGAAACACGTGGACTAACTTTAAGAAAGTCGGAACAGCTATTCACAAAACAGTCGTGTTAGAGCCACTTAAAAGTTATCCCTTAGGTTGTTTAATGAGGTTCACATGTGAATAATGCCAGCATTCACACTATCTCTTCATAAGAATAATCATAACGGATTCTTCTATGACTTCAATCAGTTTGTCTATCAATCAGTGGACTTCTATAAAAAAAATTTAGTATAACTCGAGTGGTATATTTCATTTTGCCCATAAATCTAAACCACCATACACTTACCAGGAGAAAAAATTCCATACTCATCATCAATTTGTAGCAGCTTATAGGCACTACGTGCTCTCCAACCCTCTTCTTTAGCTAATCTATAGTAAATATCACGTTTATCGCGTGAAGACTTCCCCATTATTGATGGCTTCTCTGAAACGGGTAAAATTAAAAGTATGCTTTAAGTTTTGGGGCAACAATCCCAGTAATCTGGTATTAAATTAGCACTATAGTAAACTAGAATCTGTTGACAGAACGAAAACTCACTATTAGTCTCTTTAGTAGGATAAATGAAACTAAAATATGGGCAACAATCATATCATAATGAAACGAACACTTCAGTATTGCTATTAAATGAGTGGATATAGCAAATAAGTATTGTAAAAATTTTTACATAAAACCAGAACACTAAGGCTAGAAGACTCATCTCCAATTTATTTTGTGTATATGTAGTTGTAACCAGCAAGTTTTTCGGTCCGAAATCATTGAATAGATTTCAACAGTAATAAACACTCCTGTAACTGATACTTACACAACTCGTTAGCTATGAGACCTTTCCAAAGAGGACAGGAACTCAGATGGTTGGAGTTGAAAACTATTAGTCAGCAACTGCCGTAAAAATATTGGAAGGTGATTCTACTTGAACCGACCAAATGATGATAATACAATTTGAGGAAACGTTGGGAGTCAGCAGTATAGCTGCCTACTATCTAGCAACTAACACAGTAAGGGAGCGATTGAATCGACAACTGCATCACTGTGCTAATATGGTATGGCAACTTGAACTGATGTACGTACGTACGAAGTTCTACGTTGTTACTGACTGACAGACAATTCCAAGCTTAAAACATGTGAAAATACGTGAAGTATGACGAGTCAAAGACGAAAAAGAGCAGATACTAATATCCAGATGGATTATCCTCGGTAGATTTCAATTTTGGAGGATTAATTTTGGTTTAATTGACTGGGTAGTTAGTCTCGGAGTTTGGTGGCATTTCATCTAACTGATCGCAGTCACTGACGACCAAGTAGTATCGATGTTTTCACACTGAGTAGTCAACGTTTGGAACCTACTGACAGAAATGGTTGACGTGTTACGGTCGTCCGAGTCTGACTGACAGAGCGTATCAGTGATGCAAGCACTTAATAGACTCGTTCAAGAGAAAACTACAAAAATACAAAGGCCTACTGCAAAAAGACTAACATAGACCTCCAGCCCTCTTTCCTCAAAATACAAATCTCATCTGTTTAAAAATAGATAGTAGTCCAATTGTGATGATCAGAAAGGAATTATTTCAATCAATGGTGATTAAAGTCTAAGCTACTAAAATCCTTGGATGGTTTTCCGAAACATATGATCAAGGAGTCCGGAGAAACAAGCTGGTAATAAGTGGAAAGAAGATTAAGATGATCGAGTACTTAGCTCATGAGATGTTTCAGAACTTGGAAATATTGCCATCAGTCCTTATAAGCACACACTAATAGTGTGGCCTTATAACTAATGGTAATAGTAACTCAGTTCAGCTTAGACGCACTTTTCTCGAACTCTTAGAATGCACTCACACTTTATAAGGAGAGAAATCGACAACAATCTGAAGTAAAACAAGCGAGAGATTAAGGGAATATTCCAATTGGGACCAAAGATTGACGACACAGTGTCGGCAACGCTTCAATGGTATCCTTCACTGATGTAGGTTGCGAGCACTTGAAGGTCAAACTGTCCCAAGACGATTGGTGCATCACATCGACAATGCATGAAAATTTTCAGAAGCGGTAAAATCAAGACATTTTTAGATTTGAATTGAGTTCAGCCATACCATGTCTGATAACGTTCATTCTTCAAGTAACGAAGACGATGCCATCGTGATGATGCATGATATAGGACGAATCTTCAATGATTTTATGTTATCTCGAAGATTTACAAGTTGGGACAATTTTCAGTTTCAGGGAAGGACAGGAGGCCTGATGGCCTGTGTTAGTCCTGGCGATGGTGGTCCCTCAGTTGATCCAACTTTCTTTTGAAAGGATCGACGGATGGAGCCTCAACCATGTGCTGAGGTAATGAATTCCACTCATTGATGATTCGATGGGAAAGTCGATAGTCAGCTGACAAGTAATTTGTTCTTGGCTTGTGAACTTTTTTGGAGTGTCCTCATAAATTCTCTGTTTTGGAAGACAAGATAAATGAATGCATATCAGGTGCAAATTTGGCACTGAGCAATTTGAAAACTGTAATCAAGTCGCCTCTAGTTCTGAGATATGACAAAGGGAAAAGGTTCAGCTTGGCCAGTCGAGCTTCATACAGAAGCTTCGCTATTCCGGGAATCAGCTTAGTTACCGTTCTCTGAACCTTTTACAGAAGCTCACTGTCTTTTTTTAAGCAGAGGCTGGCCGCTTGTATGCAGTACTTAAGTTTAGGACGTACGAAAACTGTATACAAAGTCAAAAACGTCTTAGCGTCGACATGACTAAAAGCCCTACGTATTGACCATAAGGTTCTAAAGCCTTTGGCGGCTATTGCACGGCAGTGTGCAATGGTCTTTAAGTCTTGGCTAACGATGACTCCTAAGTCATTATATGTCTGGACGACAGGTAGCTCAGTGTTATTCATCGTGTATGTATCTGTGCCTTGATGACCGATATGCATCACAACACACTTGGGAGTATTTATCGGCAACTGCCAGGTTTGAGACCATTCAGATTATTTATTCAGGTCATTTTGGAGTTCTAAGCTATCACCCTTACATCGTATCGTTCTCCATATCTTGACATTGTCAGCATATAGCAAGACCGATGATGATAGGAGACAAGGAAGGTTATTTACATACAACAGGAATAGCACTGGCCCCAAAACTGTACCCTGGGGCACTCCACTAAGCACAGTTCCCCAGCTAGATAACTTTGAGTTCACCCGAACTCTTTGTTGACGCCCAACTAAGAAGTCTTTTATCCACATAAATAGATTGCCTCCAATCCCGACATTTCTTAACTCATATAACAGCCGGTTGTGCGAAACCTTGTCAAAAGCTTTGTTGAAATCAATCAAGGCTACGTCCACAGGTAACTTTTGGTCCTTAAGAGCGCACGAGCTTTCACGAGCCAATAATAAGTTAATGAGGCAAGAGTAACCTAGTCTGAAACCGTTCTGCTTCTCCGAAAGGATCCGGCTTTTATCGAGATACTTAAACAGCTCCCTCCGAATAATCTTTTCTAAGATTTTAACAACCACACTAGTTAGGCTAACGGTTCGGTAATTCTCAGGTTTGTGTTTCATACCTGTTTTGGAGACAAGACTTACTATGGCGTTCTTCCTTTCTTTTGGTAAACAACCCTGCGTTACGGACAGGTTGAAGCATATACTTAGAGGGTTCGCAACGAAGTTAGATAACTCTTTCAGTAGCCTAGGATGCCATCCATCGGGCCCCGTGGATTTACCTATGTCAAGCTTATTTAGTAGACCAAAGACATCGAGTTATTTAATGATCACGCCATCCAGTGTATGTGTGGGGGAATCTGTATGCGCTGATGGGAAGGGTGCTTCTATGGTGTATGTATTGCTAAAGTAGTTTGAGAACACTTGAGCCTTACCAAAGTCGTCCTCCACTAGTGATGCGGCAGTACTGTCTCCCCATACAGCAGGAATATTTCCTCTTCGCTTTGTCCTTCGGTTAATATAAGAATACAAGCGTTTAGGACATTCTATGGATTCCTCGTACAACTTTCTAGACTTACGGAGGGTCGAGGCACAGATATTCCGAACTTTTCTATACTGAGATTTAGTTTCATCAGTCCCCAGTAACCTAAATCTATCCCATATTTTTCTTCTCTTACGGAGAAGGATGCGGACCTCCCTAGTGAACCATGGTGGGGAGTTTCTCGGTCCCCTTGGTATAGTCCAAGGGATGTGGGGTGTGATAACTTTTAAGTATGAATTTCGGAATGCGTCCCAGTTCGTTTCAATTGAGGACTCTGGGTCTATTGTCCAATCTACTAACGATGCTGAGTTCATGATGTCTGGTATGTTTGCTTTTCAGAAGTTAGGTCTGGATTGGGCTGACACGTGCTCGTGACTGACAGTTATATGGAAATCGAAAATTAAAACTGCGTGATCACTTCTACCTAGGGGTGGCATATAATGAAGGTTCGCAACATCATCCACATAGTGAGTGAGTATCAGATCTAGTAAGGATGATTCAGTGTCCGGGTCGTACCTAGTCGCTTCTTTCACATGTTGTACTAGAGCACATGTGATAACCACATCAACTAGTTCCTGCGCGAAGGAATTTTCTGACGATTCAGTTCGCAGATTTTCCTAGTCTACCATAGGTGCATTGAAGTCCCTTAGGATTAGACATCGACCACTTTGGGACCAAGTATTTAGACTGCTTAGCAGGACCTCATTTGCCTCACAGCTTGAACTGCGATAGACCAAACCAACCAGCAGCTCTTGTCCCTTGCATTTCAAGCGGAGACTAACTAATTCACACGTCCCACTCTCGTGGGATACACCGTCGATAATAGCAAATGGGATAGCATTCCTGATGAATAGAGCTACTCCCCCTCCTTTACGCTTTTGTTTTCTATCAACCCTTACAAACGCAAAACACTCGAAATGAAGTTGCATACTATCTATAGACTGTGTCAGCCAGGTTTCTGTGACTGCGATTATGTCTGGCTTTGTAGAATCAATCCGTACACCTAGTTCCGATCGCTCATTGAGCAAGCTTAGGGCATTAGTGTAATAGATCCGAAGCCTATTTAAGTGGCTTCGTGCTTCACTCAGAGTGGCTACGAGATCATTCTCTGTCGAAGCCTTACAACCCGAAAATTTACAATTTTTAGGTCCTTTTCGCCAGCGTCTAACCTAAGTTGTAGTTCTTTTTCGGCTTCCCGTCTTTTTACACGGACTGTCAACGGTAAGTCCTTTCGTATAAAGACTCGTGAACCCTTTTGTTTGTGTCCATTCTGTAAAATTGGGTCGCGTTCGTTCAAAGAGTTGAATGCTACTTTAAGCAGTCTGGAATGATATGGTTTCAAGTCCGCTAGACTCCCTGGTCTGTACACCTTTAGCAAGGTGATCCCGATGATATTTTGAGGCATGAGTTGACTAAGCAGCTGCTTAATCAGCACAATGTCATG